AGGGGATCAATAAAGTATATCTTCTTCTTTCTTCTTCTTGTTCTTCTTCTTCTTCTGCTTGGTTCCCTCAGATGGCTCCCTCATTGACAGTATATAAAAGCTCCCCCTTGATACACCAATTTAACTGTTTCAGTGCATCTTTAAATGCATTAAATGTAACTATCCTTTTTGCAACAATTCTTTGTGGCTTATACTTCAAAATACACACTTAGATGCTCTGGTAAGGAAATTGGTAAAAAAGCTTTTATGTTTAGGGCTCTTTCTGAGGGAAATAATTTACCTGAAGCCTACATAATCTCTTGCTATTATTTGGCTTACTTGAAAATGTTCTGTTATCACAGAATAACACAAATGTGTTGAAATAATGCTATCACTGACTCTTATTCCGTAGTTTGATCATTTATCTTAATGGCTATCTTAAGGTCGTTACTTCTTTCTGTTTTTGTTGGGTAGAATGTATTACTTTTTCCTTTGCATTGTTGGGTTGTGTTATGCGTTGTGTCTTGTGTTTCATATTTTCTTTTTGTTTTCTTTTTGTTCTTGTGAGTGCTTGTTTTCAGAGACAATACATAAAAGTTTATCATGATACAATACATTTGACTACAGTTTGACTACAAGGAGCAATTTTAGTTTTTTGTTTGGATTTGTTTAGCTCTGCTTTGGTCTCTACTCTGAGAAAACATCCGGCTCTATAAAAGGGTTTTTATATGCTGCCCTTTGTTCACTAGCCAGTTGCTAACTTTGTCTGTCTGCTGTTTGGTTATGGGCTGGTAGTGTACAGTGGGTTTGTCAGGAGGAGCAGTTGAGGAGGTTGATGAGAATGAAGTTGTGGGATGGAAATCCAACACAATGATCCAAAACAGACTAAAAGGCTCCATAAAGCTGAGAACTCCAGAGCTAAGGTGATAATTGTCAGGACAAGCCACCCCTTCCACTTTACACGTAATGTATTTGATCTAATGCTGATATAAAACATTTTTATTAGTGCAGCTTTAAGATAATTGGTTTTAAAACTGACCAAGTATTATGAACCATAAAATACAGGCACTTTGTGCACTCCAATAGCAGGAGGATTTTTCTTTCATAGAGCAATATTTGTACCCTGGGAAGCAACTGAATGTGTGAGAAAACTGTAAATTTTTATATTTTTCCCCCTTTTGCCTGAGCATGTAGGCAGGGGGACATGTAATCAATCATGTTTTCTGTGGGGAGATGTGTGATGTCAAGGACAGGGCAGTTGTTTCACTGCACTGTCCTGTTACCAGCGAAACTCAGGACGTTTATCATTTATTGCTTGTGGGGATGAAGAGAATTTAAGACCACTGTTTGTCTGTTTAGGTGTTCAGATTCTGCTCGTCCAGAAACCGTCCGACCGTGTTTGCTACCCTGCAAGAAAGACTGCATTGTGACACCCTTCAGTGAATGGACAGCCTGCCCATCAACCTGCATGCAAGGTAGCTCTTCTCATGAAATTTTCAAGGAAACATTACTTAAACTAAAACTCAATATCTTTGGGTTTTGGTGTGACTGTTGGTCAGTCAAAAATAACAATGTAGATATATCAACTTGAATTGGGGAAATTTTATTAAAAAACAGTTTTATTGATCAAACAACTGGTCGATAAGTTGAGAAAATAATTATCAGATTAATACAAAATGAAAATAATACTGACCTGCAGTTCTGGAAAATACATAATTTAATTAGTATAATATACATTATTTATAAAAGTATAAAGCTACAGTATCAATACACAGTATGTGGAAAGCCTCATAAGGCATGAGGCTCGTTATTTTACTGTTACTGTTCAATGTTGTATTATTATAACAATGCCACCAGAGACTCGAGGTATAAAATGTAGCCATACAAATGTGCACTACCTTGATGTCTCTTGTGTATTCAGTGATTAGTTTTAAGTGTAAATGACAGTGTTAACTGTCCATTACATTAAGCTGACACATCAAGAGGAAAATGGATATTTAATGGGTTTCAATATGTGTATTGTAAGTATCTTGGAAATCAAAAAGTATGTAATTGTTTTTAAAAGAATTGAGCAGGCATCTCGTCTCTGTAAATATGCTGTAGTCCATTGGGTCCGCTGATGATGTAATCACTTTCTTAATTGCACCATTTTCAATGTTTAGTAATTAGTGTTGTGTAATGAGCCTTAGAGCGTGAGCCAAATGAAGCCATTACAGTGTGGTGTGTCCGAAAACAGACTGCAGTGAAGTGGAGGACGTCACAGTCACAAGGGCAAGCTAATCAGAATCAGATCAACTTTGAGACTACTTGTTTTTTAGCCATCTCTTCGAATATATTAGACTGCAGTGGCGATATTGTGTCTCCATTTGTTTGGTGTCCCAGACTATACTTGTCAGCCATTTGTCCCAGTATCATTTTACTTTCTCTTCCTCCTGGAAAATATTCACTTAAATTCAACTGTGCAACTAATCTGCCACTGAACGCAACCTTTCTGTGAAGATTGTGTTTCATGTTCAACAGATAATGCAACTGCCGCCACACAGTCTCGATACAGGACCATCATTCAGAGGTCTGCTAATGGAGGTCAAGAGTGTCCTGACACACTGTATGAAGAAAGAGAGTGTGAATCACTTCCTGTATGTCCAGTGTATAGGTAAAAGCGCAATTTATAACCAACCATTTTCCTTTCTCATCCAAGAATATGTTACCTTCATTCATCTGCTATATAATAGCACAGTGTACTGTAAGTGCAACCTATTTGTAAATAATCGGTGTCAAAGGTGTGCACTAAAGTTGTGAAATACTTGAGATGTATGCGTGGGCTTTTATACATCAGACAACATGACATATGACACATACTCTCATGTGGCTCATACAGTGTAATGTTATTAGTAAACATGGGGGCATTTTTGTACTGCAGCATAGAAAAAAAGTAGAATGTAGACACGAGCAGCCTGTCAAAGCTGTTAGAATATGACAAGGCCATTTGTGCTTTCTTTAACATCACTGATTGTTTTCAGTAAACAATTTTAATCAGTTATTGCTATTAATGTGATGTCACAAGCAAATAGGAAAGTTATTTTCTAACAGCTGTAATAGTTATTGTTATAGGGAGGTTATACATTTAAACTATAATTCCATAAAGTAACAGAGCTATGTATACAGCACACTGGTGAATAAGAAAGCAAGATTTAAGCATTCTTACTAGCTTGTAACTAGCTTACTATACAGTAGTTCATACAAATCTTAGTAGAGTATAGTATTGTGATGAGGTGTGCTAAAATATTCCTTGTTTAAAGAAACCACCTGTCATATTTGGAGTTCGATAGCAAGCACCTTTAGATATATACATATACTGATATGTAGTCTGCTCACTGTAACTAGTGCAGTACTACTATTGGCTTTTATTTTTATTAGTGTTGGAGATTCAGTTTTATGGTGCTTCCTTGTTGAGACTGAATATCAATAATTGATTAATCATTAAAGTTAAGAAATAGGCTTATAAGCTTATACAAATCGCCTGTAATTTCCCCTTTTTTTTCCCTCCAACCTTTTTTCAACAATTGACATGGGAGGTACAAACCAAGAACATTATACACTTTAAATAACATATTGATGGAATGTACTGTGAATTTAGAGATAAACTCAAAAGCCTTAAGAATGTTTTATTTTTTATAATAAGATTATTCAAATTGTTTTCTGTATAGACTCTTGATAATACTAACCAATAGCATTATCCAATTTGTAAATGAAAATGTGTAAATGTTGCACAAATCAAGATCAAAATCACAGAATGTCTGATGTTAATCATAAGGCAATTGAGACCATTTTCTATGATGGCCTTTTGTTATATAATAGGGAACTTTTGCCTGCTTTGTAAATGAAGCTGCAGTAATACACTGCCATTCCAAAGTCTTTCTTTCTTTGTGTTCTTGTGTAGGTGGAAGACCCACAAGTGGCACAGCTGTACTCTGGTTCCAGATTCAGTTCGACGTGGATTATCTGGACCAGAAGAAGCCTGTGGAAATGGTTTAGAAACACGAGGCAAGTGTTTTCTTTCTTTGCTGATTATATTCTCTACACTTCCTGCTTTATCACCATTTTGTTATTTGCTCTTCCATCTATTTATTCTTCTTATTTAATGGGACCTAATAGCCCTTTCAAAACTGCTCCTTTAACAAGCAAGTGATGGAAACATAAAAAGACAGAGGCAATTTGTCCAGAGACTGTAACGAGATGAACCTTTCCATCTGTTGTCTTGATGATCTCATCACAACGCTAGTTTCTTATTAATGAATGCAACAAATGGCCACAAGCCCATTTTAACAGCACGTTGAAAGAAACAACGAGCCTTGTTACTCACAATACACAGAGTCATGTGTGAACTGACTCACACAATAAAGTTTAAAAAACTATTTAGAAACCTGTTCGGCTCACACAACATTGCCAATACAGTTTTTATTTTTATGAAATGATGAATATGTGCTTCATGGCTCGAGAATCTGGAGTTATAAAAACTGACATTGAGAGAAACTGTGATTTATAGTCCGTAAATCAGAAATGAAAATAAACACTCACAGAACACACTCTATTAATAATGTAACACAAGAAGAGAAAAGCTATACACAAAAAATATTCATAATCCACAAAAATAAACTTTGTCACCTGTAAACAATGAACGTTGGTTGTCCTCAATGTATAAACATATAACAAATGTGTTTTCCTTACATGGGCACTCAAGGTGTGTCATTTTTTTTGCAGTCTGCAGTTAATGTGCAGTCAATTCAAAGGAGTATACAGCCCCCAATAGGTTGGAGGTTGATTCTTCCTTTACTGCTGACATTTTAACCCCGGAACCGTTTTTTTTTTTATGTGGCTGTGTGTATTTTATCTCTGTTGTCTTTAAAACTGGGAGGAAGACTGTTGCCATTCTGCACTGCTGTGCATGACATAATCCCTGCTTAATAAAAAGTAAAATAAATAAAAATAAAAAGTTTTGCCTTTATGGAGATACTTTCCTCTTTACAACTTATTATGACGTGTTGTTTATCTGCAGTATGTCCCATATTGTATACCATCATGATACAGTGCAATCATTACTGTTGGCAATATTTATTATTGTATCGTGTCCCTGTGACCCCTAATTGATTGTGCTCTGTGAGCATGTGAATGTGTTTGCGTGTTTTCTGGACTCTGCAGATTCCTGAGTACTGTCCTTTGTGAAGAACTGCATTTCTCTGAGTGGAGTTGTGAAAACGACTGCCACTGGCCGCAATCGTTAAAAAGCCAAGAGTGTTAATTGGATCATTTCAGACTCGTTTAGAGGAAAGCAAATGTCCCAATAAATCCCAGAAACTGGCTTTTCTATCTAATTTACTGATGTGATTCAAGCAAAGTTTTCAGTGTCTTTCTGTGCCGCCTTGAGAACTTTCTAGCTTTTCTGCTCTCGCTGTTGCTCCCTTTTACTTAGCAGTGTAATTATTACTGATATTTCTCAAGTGTGTTTCTATGACTTTTTAGTGAGGATACGAAAAGTGTCTGTAGTGTTCCCAGGTTAAGAGCAACCCTCATTGACCTTTAGAGCTTCCTATTTGAATATGATTAGAAAATGACTAAGTTAAATACCTGTGACATTTCAAAAACTGAAAGTATGAGACTGGAATTTGTAGTTGGTGGATATACAGAATTTAAATATAGGTTTTATGCAACAAAGAATTTATCCATGGTTTTCTTTAGTGGAAGTCTGAACCAATCCAATACAAAATGCCATATAAATGTCAAATTGGGGCATAATTAGGACACAATAATTGGGAATAGGGCTATATTAAATGCATAGAAACTTTGAATAAGGATATATAAAATATTTAATGACAGCAGGTTGTGGCATAGCAGTGCATAGCATATAGCATGGGTTTCACAATTATATTATTCAAGGACCTTAAAAAGATGCCGCAATGCCCTGCCAAAGATCTCCATATGCCATCATCCATCCACACTCAAAAGTGCAAATTACATTATGGTCTGATTTAGATAATGTCACTTCTAATGAAGTTTTGTGTTAATATAGTAGTTTCTAGTCCAAATGCAAATTATGCTTTATTCATTTTCTATTTTCCCTTTTGAAACACGCACATAATATTCAACATAATGTTAGTTTCCATAAACTCAGTATTCACTATAGTTGCTGTATTTACAGCAGACAGGTGCGTGAGATGGTATCTATTTCAAATATATCTCTTCATTGAGAAATGAAGAAAATCGACAAATCCTGTACCTTTATCTCTAGGTTAGATTGATCGGCGTCTCCAAATTGCCCGTAGACGTGAATGTGGTAATAAATAGTTGCCTGTCTGTGTGTCAGCCCTGTGATTGACTAGAGACCTGTACAGGGTGTACCCTGCCTCTCACCGAGTGTCAACTGGGATGCAGGAATCAACAAATTTGTAAATGTTTTTTGAGTTTTCTGAGATTGACTGAGATTAGTTATTATATGAATAAAACATTTTTAAATAATTTATTTGTGAATAATTACCACACATAAAGATACCAAAATATGGGAAAAACATTTAGGAATTAAAAGGGGTAACACTTATCCTTATCAACCATATGTTCACTCTCAGCATGAAGTGTTGCATGGTAACACATGATAAAGATGTAGTCCTACTTAGTTGCACACAACTCAGTTTTTTGGGGTCTAATTATATCTGTCTGTCTTCTGGCCACAAACAGCCAATGGAAATATTTTCCATCCGACTGCCACGACATTTGCTTACTGAGCAGTGTGTCACAGCTCAGACAGGCAGATTTCAGATGTATTTTAGAAGGAACCAGGAACTTTTTTTCTTGGCTCTTGTATATTTATGGAGTCATAGAACTCAGGATAATGCCAAACTCTTCCTCTAGTTATAATATTTTCAGCTCACCTTTGCCTCTATTTGTGATGCTTAGTGCACATCTGCATCTGTTCCCCATTAGCACGTTTCCCCTGACTTTGTTTGTATTCATGTTGCATCCAAATATCTCTGAATGACAGCATTTCCCACGTTTGCTTTGTAAATTGGGGGTGCATCTACATGAGGTGGTGGGTCTGTGTATCTTTTGGTCGTTCGATTTTCCTTTCATAAATGGGTATTAAAAAACAGAAAACGAGTGGTTGTTTGATTTTCGTTTTAAAATACAAAAATTAAAATTGAAATACAAGCGTTTTTCTTTTTCATGGTCAAAAAAGGGATGAGCGAAAATTAAAAAAAATATTCGATTTTCATTTTCTATTTTCATATAAGCAAAGAAATAAAAATCACTAGAAAACAGAAACGGAAAAAAGGCCTGTTTTTTCATATTCTGAGACCGGATGCTGTCATTGTACAGGACGGTGCTGTGTAGAAGAAAGCAGTAGGCTAGTAGAACTGCGGTCAAGCCGAGCCGTGACTCGCGATCTCCGTGGTCAAATCCCAGCCGCACGTTTTCAAAATAAAAGGTATTTGAAAGTATAAGACTAGAATTCGAACCTACATTTAAAATAAAATATGTTACATTAAAGTGTTTCATGCGCCCCTGATGAATAAAAAACACTTTATATCAAGTATCTTTACTGCACCAGTGTGGAGAAATGCCTCTACACAGCACTGTCCTGTAAATGACAGCATCCGGTCTCAGAATATGAATTATTATTATTATTTCGCGCATCCCTTTTTGACCACGAAAAAGAAAAAAAGCCTTGTATTTCAATTTTAATTTTTGTATTTTAAAACGAAAATCAAATAACCACTCGTTTTCTGTTTTTTAATACCCGTTTCTGAAAGGAAAATCAAATGACCAAAAGATACACAGACCGGGGTAGATGTAAACCGCATTGTTTATATTGCACTGAACTTTTGTCAATATTGTTTCACCCTTAATTACAAGAATACCTACAGTAGTTGTTGTGTTTAATATCATCAGTGACAGTCTGGCTGAACTAACACTAGCAATGAGTCAACACAATTTTTCTTTCATTATTGTGGCTGCCAGGTTGGATTTCCTGTGAGAATTACAAGAGTGTGGGTTAAGAAATGGTAGTTTTAGTACAGCCCTGGTACACTGCTAGATTACTAGTGTTGAGTAAACAAATCCCAGTTACCAAACAGTTAAAATATTGGCTATTGATTTTCAGCCCAGTCAGGAACAGCTAGATTCCTGGACACATTGGCTCAGGCATTTACTCTAAGGTCAGAATCAGAGCCAAGTTTCAGACGTAAGCATGTGATTGAGTTTGTTGTTTACATAGCCAATATGCCCTTGGCTTGAGTAAATACTTTCTCACATGTCTGGCCCCATGTCAGATGCAAGGCTGCATGTTGAATGAATGCTAATGTCTGACCAAATGGTAAAATGAGTTGAGGGTTGTGGTACATGTGCTGTGTTGGGGGTCATGGATAAGAGCCATTACTAAATAAGCCAAGATTTAAAAAGAGGAATCCTAACCTTGCCGAAAGAAAATCCTTCACTATATAGAACAGACAACTCTGAAAAACATATATGAAGTTGTAGTGTGTGTAACTTGGAGTACACAACGAGATAATGGATTTCACACTTACTACAACACACTGTGTCTAAATTCTGCCAATGTGTGGCTCATAACCAGCTGGATGTGTTATATCCCTCCCTGAGTAGAACTGGAACTGTTTTGAGAAATTATTCAATAGAAAATGAGTCATGCTGATGATCTTTTGCTGCAGGAGAAATGAGTCTTAATGGCCATAATGAATCCAATCCACATTACTCTTCCCAAGGAATCACATAGAAGAACAGTATACAAGCAGTATGGTTGAATTAACATAAAGATTATATTTAATGTGAGGGGCCTTTATGTGATTAATATCTTAGTATTAAAAGTAATTATAGAAAATGTAACATGTTCTGGGTTGGATTGATAAAAGCTGGCAATTGATATTTAAAAATCTGAAGTGTCACATTCCTCTTCAAAGCTACTCCTTTCAACTGTTCCTCAGAAATGTTCACCTTTCTAAGTAGCTGTATAATTAATGACAATCCCTGTCACTGGTGGAAATACCGTGACATAAATTTGCGAGAGTAGAAGATGTGAAAGGCCACGTAAATGGGCTTGGGCAACCAGAGGCTGAAATTATTATGTTAAAAATGTGTGGCATCCAGTTCAAAATCAAAATGTCAGTACTTGCGGTGCTTGGATCTGCTAAAACAAGACATTAGGAATGACAGAATGGGGCTGTCACTGTTGGAGTAGGTTGGGAAAGAGAGAAGACCATTCAAGGTAAATGGACAGAACTAAGTGTCAACAGGGACGTGTAATTATTCCCACAGTAGTGCTCATTGGACTAATAGTACTGTAGCAGCTGTTAATGATTTGTTGTTTTTCAAACAGGATTGTTAAAAGGAAAAAAGGGATTCACATTTGAAGGTTCATCATAATATCATCACTCTTTAACCTAAACACGTACATTGAAAAATAAAATATATTTTTTTTATAGCTGTGATTGTGAATGTTACATAAATGCACTTCAATAATAGCTATCATCTCCCTTTCAATGCCTTTGTAGAGGCCTTGTATGTAAATGACCATCCCACACATTCTCGGCAGACATGTAGAAATCCAACAGTTTTTGTCAGAGGGCAAAATTTAAAAGTCAAATAGAAATCAATAAAATGGATTAAAGGCATGTTTGTATATCAGTGAATCCTTAAAGACACAGAGGCATTCTGGGGAAGAGAATTATATTCACTGGTAATATTGCTTTATTTAAATTCCAGTGTCCATGAGAGAACAATGTATTTGATCACTGATCCTGTGTACTCAGTCTGTTGTCTTTTATTTATTGTTCAAGAAGGCTTGAGTCCAATCAGCTGCTCCTGTCCAATTAGTGGAACATGAAAAAAACTACATAAATCCTTTGTCCTTCTCTCTCTCTCTCTCCCCTCAGTTAGCAGACTCTACAGGAGCGCACTGTCCACACACCTACTCATTTGTTCTTTGATTTTATTTGATTCATTTAATCTACTCAGATTAGGTTTATCACTATTTTTAAGGCTTCTCATTCATGTTGCTTCCCTCTTATCTGGGCTGAATCACTGTACCGACACTCACAGAATGATTATTCCTGCTAACATCCATGCAGACTGAAATATTAGTGTTGGAAATTAAGGAAATGTTTTTACCTGGGGAGTGATACATGATAAAAATAATACAGTTTGTGTTACTTAATTTTTCTTTTTGACTTGTCTTAGTGACACTTTCGTGTGAGTCTCCATATCTTATAAACACAAATGAACATCTTATCCCCCCAAAATGATACTGATGCAGTATCTGTAGCAAGACACGGTATCCTGGTATAATAAACACGTGCTATGCAGTGAGGTTTAAGTTAAAAAGTGCATCAATAAGCAAATATTTATATGTTCACACAAATGAAACACATTTAAGCGCTTAAGAAAATAAATATCTTGAAGCAAAGACATTATACCAGTGTCACAGGAACCTTTATTAGTATGCAAATATATGCAGCAAGGCGCTTCAAAATCAAATCATCTACTCTAGAGAGATAACCTGTGGTGTAAGGAAATTTAAAGTAGTTAGTATTCTTGAGATATGCCTCTCACAGGAATGCACTTAAAAATAAAATAAAAAAACAAGGACTATTTTCATGTGTTTAAAGCAAGCTTTTGCTCTATTATGTAGTGGTTCTGATGTACCTCACATATTGACATTCCTTCAGTCTTTCTCCTTAATTACAGCTAGCGCTGTCTTTTCTGACAGAGAGTGGCCCTACTTCATTGATACTCATTTTGATGTAAAACTATATAAAGGAATTCTAAAACACGTATTCAGGGTATTTTCCAAAGTGATCAAACCCACATTGGACTGAAAATGTGCTTATAGTAAATTGAGTGCTACATTAGGTGTTTAGTAACCCATCTGGTCTTGCTGTGTGTTCTAAGTAATTATTATACCACAGGCACATATTGCAGCTATATTAAAGGGTTGTGATGTCGTTATTCTTCATTGATCAGATACGATACTCGGTTAATCGGTTATTCTGTATGCCTTGTTTTTATTCAATAAATCATAGTTATCTGAAGGAAGTCTGATAAAAGGTTTTGTGCTTGAAGGTTGAATTAGCATTTCACCATGTTTTACATGAAGGCTGCACAGGGATATTCTTTATAGCTATGGTTTATGCAATGATTATTATATAGCTACCTTTTCTTTTCTATGACCAAACATAAAAAAAAATAGATTAATAGATGTTTCCCTCCCTGTTCCTGAAAGTATCTGATATAAAACAATACCATACCTGAACTGAATGACTTAACTTGTGATCTGTTATGTGTGCATTGTCTCTGTAATTGGAGTGACATTCTTGCATCCCCCCCTGTGTTTACAGGAGTCAGTTGTGTTGAGGAGAGCGGTGAATCGGCCAATATGACAGAGTGCCTGCAATGGGCTGGCCCCTTGCCCCCTCAGAGCAGAGACTGCTGGGTAGCTTGCAAGGATGACTGCACTCTAACACCGTGGTCCAAGTTCTCTGAATGTGCTGGATGTGGCAGCTCCCGCAGTCGCAAGCGTTCACTCACAGGTAAGCCCTTGACTTTTATTCACAGATTGTGAGACACAGAATTCACTCAAGTCAACAGTTTCATCTTTACCTATAGAATGACTAACATTCTGGAAAGTCTCAAGCCACAAAAATGTTGTGTTCTTTCATACTACTAAAAAGCACTTAATGCTGCACATTTGTTGCTGGTTATCTCTATATCTCCACCCGCCAGCTCTACAAGAACCTTGTATGTATTAAAGCAGTCACCTTGTACACTCATTCCAAAATTAACTCAGCTACATTCCTGGATCTTCAGGGTTGTTATCTTTACAGCATATTCTTCACGTGCTGGAAAGCCCCTGTGCTGTGACATATATACCGAAATCCAGTCCAACCTCTTTTCTCCTTCTGGTTCTGTTACTGTAACTTTCTACTGTCCCTGTAGTGTTACGTCAGGTCTGAATTTAGGTCTCTCACAGCTTGTAATCCCTTATTTCAGTGCAGATGGCAAAATCTGAATTACATGCTGTGGTTGCAGACCAGGCTGGATACTATTTGTCTTCATGAATATTTGATCCGATGCCGGAGGGGTTGTAGTAAACATACCCTGTCTCCTTCTATAATGCTCTTAGAATCCAACACATGAAATCAACCTTAGCTCAGTGGTGGGCTTTATTTGGAAAGAGTGTGTGCTCGTGTTCAAAGGGTTGTAATGACCATAATAGATCAGTATTTCAACTCTTTAATGCCAACTTTAACACTTCCTTAAATTTCTCTGTCAGGTAAATTGATGGAAAGCAAATCCAATGTGGGTTTTAAGCTGTAGTATGTGGGTAAGGAAGCTGGCAGCTTACCAAGGCCTTGATGATACAACGATGTTGAAAAACCTCCTTGAGCCACACATTTGTCTGTATGAACTGAAAGTCCTTTTGAAAGTCCAAAAGGCTACTGGATTTCCTAAAGATCGACTAAAGTCAGCATATGTCCGTGCACTGGCAGGAGTAAAGGCTACATTCATACAGAAAACATTGGCAAGCACTGTGTTTATAAAGTTATAAACACAACAAAGACAAAGTACACAACACAAGAAATATAATTATCTAGTTTGCATACAGCACATTCTGACAGGCATTTGCAAGTTTTGTATATATAATGTTTGAGTTGTCATAATTTAACAACCTCCCTTGTATCATGCCACTTATTACCCAACGGTGTGTTTACAAATAAAACAAACCTCAGCCTTGAAAGGAGGACATAAAAAGAACAGCCACACCTCGGCACTGTGTTACTTTGTCAGCTTCTGACACCCAAATATACCCCCTCTCCTTCACACACCTACAAACACACACACACCTACACACAAACACACACACACACACACACACAAACAAATCATTTCTTTTTTATAGGTTTGATGTTACATATCTGACTTTAAATGTTTCCCTCAGAAGCCCATATAATATTCTCTGTGTTTGAATTTAATACAGTTTAAGTCACTTGAACTGAACACTGTAAATGGTCCCATTGGCGTGAATAAGAGCGTACTTCGCAGTCAGCACTGTCACTTTAAGCAAAAATGTTCTGGATCTGGAGTCCACAGGGAGGCCGCTGCCTTTCTGTGAGGAATTTGCATCTTTATCCCATGCGGGTTTCCTCCAGGTGCTTCCATTCCCTCCCACAGTCTAAAGAAGACATGCAGATTAGATGAACTGATGATTCTAAAATTTCCCATAGGTGTGAATATATTTGCATCTGTGCACTGGTGACCTGTCCAGAATACACACCTGTACCACCTCTTACCCAATGTGAGCTTGTGCTTTGTTCGCATTTTCTTTTAGTCTTTATTTTCTTCTCAGAAACCCAGGTGCTCATGTGGAGTAGCATTGGAGAGTCAATTTTAGGCTACTGTTGGACTGAGAGCTTACACCTGTTTGCCTATTGTCATTTGCTGATAACTGTTAAGCCGAATACCTCTAGGTTTGTTTGTTGTTTGGACCAACCAGAGATCAACATGTTTTTTTATATTGGCCCTGTAATTGAGTGGTCAGAGTCGCATGTTGCTTCCCTGCTTGTTGTTCAATGCATGCTGAGATAGAACCCTAAACCAGTAAGTGAAGTGTATGCTGGATGTGCATGGCTTCTCAGCCACAGTAGCAATTATCGCCTTTATGGACTAATATGATGCTTGGCAGATGTTTTGCATCTTCAAAAGTGCTGCAAGTAACACATGTTAACATCATATATCATCTTTAACATGTTTAACTGATACTGAGATGTTGATATACCTATAAATATATAAATGACACTATAAAAAAAAAGATTGAAAGCCTCTTCAGCTTCATCAGCAAAACACAAAATGAAAGTCTCATTTTTCAGTAAAGACTTTCGGCTCCTGTCGTAATTATGATGTCGCTCCTTGTCAAGAGCTCTGAAAACTTTTACTGTTTACTTTGAAAAACTGCATAGTGGATGCCAGTTTTCTAGTTTGTTTACATTAATTATACTAATGTCTTAACATTAATAGGATAATGATTTATTGATGTTTAAATTATACACATTTATCCAGATGCTGCTGGTATCTAAATCTGTCTCCTGTCAGAATAAAGGATTATTTGACTTGGGTAGGAAAAATATTCACAAAAAGATGCGCACATAAATGTTTTTCCCATCGCTTTATTGGCAAGTATTGAGTTGTAGCTAATTTCTTTCTCAGGCAGCATTTTGACTGTTTTATGGGTCCTGTGAATTAATTCTGCCACAGATCAGAGAGCACAGTTTGGGTGTGTATCTGTAAAAGCTTAACTGCAGATAAATGGTTTAGCTACACTATCCAGCTTTGTTACTCAGCCATTCAGACTTGCTCCGACTCTCTTCTTCAGACTAAGCTTTTAAGCACCTCGTGTGAATCATTTTAGCTTGGCTAAAAAAAAGCCACTGTAGTTCTAATGGTCAGTATGCTAGGGAAGTGAATTTATTTGATGTGATTTTTTATCACATCATGTATTTTCTACTCTATGTGTTTTGTGATTTCATTGTCCAGGTTTGTTTCTGCTGTTATATTGCTTGATGTTGTTATTTTATTTTATTTCATTTAATTAATTATTTATATTTACTTATATCTTATTTATATGCCATATTAATAAAAAATGACTGCGTAATTGATTGGTTGAAATCCACTCAAACTTGCAAGTAAAATGCTGGGAAAAAAAGTTACCAACTGCATGTATAGCACTAAGCTGGAGTGCAGGAAGAGGATTTCTGTGGGATTTATTATACACCTATCTCACAGTACATGGATTTTACTATCAGGCATTATGTTACTGGAGAGGTGAACTACAATAGAATAGAAAGATTTGTTCTTTTATGAATAACTGTCAACTGTTCAGGGACTTTGACGTGCATTGTGAGCTATAGATATTGTAAAATGCAGCACGTCTTATAATATTACTAGCCATGCTGTGTCAACAATATTACACTGCTTGAATGTTTTGTCATATAAGTACCTTAATACACTATCTTGTCAATGTTAGAACAGTTGTTTCTTTTGGTTTATCTTTGAAGACTGTTTCAAGTCCATAACATGTTAACAGCTACAGCACTGAAACTCACTCGGTCCTGTTGGTTAGTAGCCTCACACAGTCAGAAAACATATTATGTTCTCAATTTTCAGTCTAGACACAAATACCCATGAATCAGTTCAGCCTGTTCCAATATGCATCAACCAATAATTAAACATTAAGGTGATAATGTGTCTTGCAAACGTAGTTACAAACAATTAAAACTAAGCATTGCATTTGTGGAAATTGAAACATGATACTGCATGACCAGCGATTCTAGTCGGCCGTCGTGTTTTATGTCATTTTGACAATCGGATCAATGACAGACCAGCGTGTGGTGCACTCATCCAATCAAGTGGAGGAAAGGTTCATGTTGACATTTCACTATTCGCTTTTGTCCATCTATTGACAATAAGCCACAATGAGGTTCCTTCAATCACTCCATATGGTTTTCAGCCCACTTTTGGCAGTGTTACAGAGACAAAGAAGACTGAACAATGTTATGGCTGCTAACAAACATTATATAGGGATCCTTTTTAATTGTTAAATTAGGTTTAATTCAAATGCATAATGTTAAAACAAGTTGGATATTGCTCACTTAAATGCAGATTGTTTGTGGTGCCTGTTGGCCTGTGTGTTGCTATCGCCTGTAATGTAGTTGTCAAAGTGAAGTGATGTTGCACTGGCGCTCCTCAATCAACCACCAGCAGTGGCGTAGATTTAACAGATTGTTGGTGAATTGCAGTGCCGTGGCAGTGAGTTCACACTCTGTGAGGAATGTTTGCAATCAAACCCACTTCAGAAACAGATGGGCTGCTCATTGGGCACACAGGAGGCCGAGGACACCCAGGATTCATGAAACAAATAGGGGTGCACAAGTATAGCAGGAATAGCAAAACTGCAGTGCAACTCTTTCACCAGACTTTGTGCTTGTGTATGTGTGTGTCTAGCTCTCCATCTGGCTCACATCAAGCAATTCTGTTAGCACTTTTATTTTACAGTACAGAAACAAGATGTTTGCTTTAATTATGACAATTACATAGTAATTTGCTTATCCTTTGGGGACTGCAATTCATTAAAGCCACACTTGGGCATATTGCACTGACTCTGTTCTTTTGGGACCAGCAGGATTCATTTCAACCAAACAACACGGAAATAACCACTTACAAAGCAAAAGTGTGTGAACATAAAAACAATATCACACCAGGTGTTCCTTGTATATAAAACGGGTTATGTATTATTGGTTTCATCTTTAAGCAAAACAACTCTTGAAAGAAAGAATAACACATGGGGATTTGCTGTTACTTAATCTGTTGTAGCGTATGGTGGCTAATATTAGCAAACTTTAGATAGACATTACAGCACGTCACAGATAAACAATTCAATGGTTTTATCATGGAAGTAAAACAAGAAGTAAACACAGTGTAACTCACTAGGAGACATGTTTGGTGTTTCCTTCCTGTGGTCCCATTCCACTTGCACACATTGAGGTGAATGTAATTAAAGCTACTGACTCAGGATTACATAGCTAAATGAAGAAAAATTGCCCACAGTGGCCACTTTTCAGCAAAAGTTATAAAGAGATAATTATTATAATGTGTTGTTTTAAAATGGTTTGTGAATTATCATCTGGCTGATAATGGTATTTTATGGAATTTTAATAAATGTCGGCCAGGTTATGTGTCCACGGCTGATATATGGCTCTAAATGAAATGCTGAGGAATCAATCAAATTATTACAATTCATCCATGGGCACAGCCAGTTGTTGTCTCTCTTTATTACATGCCATGAACTGAATGCAGCTCCCGCACAGGGGCAAGTGTTCTTATGAAGTACATTATTTGCTTAGCAGTGACACATAGATGAAGAGGCGTTGACAGTGATGATGCTTTAATTTTTATATTTTTTTTAACAATGCACTTTGGCAACAGCAATATGTCGATAACACCAGGATATTTATAGCTGTGAACAGAACATCCTAGCTCTCTTATATAATACTTTTCAATGATGTGAAGCAGACAATCAATCATGAACAAGATTTTTGAGCAGTTGGACAGCTTGACAGGCTGTATCTATTACTTGTCCAGATATTAAAAGTGACAGTGTCTGAGAGGAACACATGGCTTTCAGCTGCTATGTTACTTTCCTGCTTGTTCTTGTCTATTAATACTCATTAGATATAATCGCCGGGACTAATTGTTTGAAGCCTGATGTGAACTATACTGAGAAGATAGTGCTAATAGACAAAATAGAGGACAAAATGGAAGTCTTAAGCTTGAAATGAAAAAGAAAGTTTCACCTTCATTAGACAAAGAAGTTGGAGCTGGAAAGTAAAAATTCACCAGTGAAAAGTCAGTCTACAGTGCTTCTCTCCCTCCATTTTCTAATACTCATTGAAAAAGTTTGATGACATGATAATAATGATTCAATGATCAAACAAAGGCCTGGTAGATCCAATAGCAAATCACCAGACATGCTGTGTTTTGTAGGTTGTAAGTAGTAGTACTACCAAAAAAACTCCCTATATATTTAGGGGTTAGAGAATCATTATGGGAAATGTATAAAATTTTAAGTGATATAAAATGAGACGAGGCAGATTGAGGAAAAGTGAGCTCACAAAAAAGAGAATTACATCACTTAATCACAAAGTAACTGAGCTGAACATCACTGACTAATGGTATAATGGTGTATGGACATCTGTGCAGCTCTCAGTTGTCTGCTGTTTCTCCACTATTGTCAGCCCCTTAAATCAAAAGCTGTCTGAGCATAGTTGATCATTAATAATAAACTGGAAGCACTGTGTGCTGGTGAGAAGTCATGGATAAAAAAGGAAGAGAAAGAATAAATGTGTATCAGGAGAAAAAAGGCAAGAGATTTTTAAGGGGAGCTTGTCTTTCTATGTTTCCTCCTCAGAGGGAGAACACAGCTGCAGCAGTTTTTACTCTCTCTGGTCGTAACACACAATGTCTGTATTGTACGTGCTATGCCTAAATATGGTGCATTTGCATACAAATGAAATACAAAAGTTAGAAATTGTGTTTTAGTTGAATAAAACAATAATACTGCTTGTATTGTGCATTCTAGGTACACTTAGTGAGGTGTTTCTATATTATGTAGAAAAACAATTACCCAGGTTTAACCTTCAGAGCGTGTAGTTGTTATTATGTAACACACACATCCTGTATACACGATTGCCAAAAGGTTTCAAAATAAAAGGAAACATTTAAGTTTAATATACTTTCAAATAGCACTAATCATTTCCTGGGGTCATTTATAGTGCTTTCTGAACATGCATTACAGGGAAATGGGCTTCCTTGCCACTGGTCATGCAACACTGTGGAGCACTGATTGGCTTTAAATTTGTTATTTACTTTCCTCTAAAAAGAAAAGTCAGCCTATAAGGAAGGGCAGAGCAAGAAGTGAATAAATTAATCCAGCTCCTAATATCTTGGCTACAATTTATATAACTAGACATTTAGAGAGACGTTTATTTGAGTATATCTGTGATGGAACCAGATGTGACAACTGGTAAATGAATTTATGTTCAACTGACTGCTGAACAAAAAGATAAAAATGTATATTGATGATTTAATGTGTTTTTTCTTAATTTAAAGAATCAGAATAAATGATGGAATATTAGACTGTGCTAAAACCACATAAAATACATTGTTAGAGTTTTGCCATGATATAGCAAGGAACATGGTCTCTCAACCTGACCCAAAAACCTCAGAGTAGCTGCAGCTAGTCGTTGAATGGACCCACTGTTTTATTGATATTGCAATTTATTATAATACTATAATACTACTATGATAGGAGTGGCTCCATTGCAACATGTTAAAGGGACAAATCAGTATTAGTAGTTGTCTTGGGGCCATGTGTGCCTTTTAGAACTAAAAACACAATTTAAATAGTCTTTTTCTCCTTTGAGTGAGTTTATGTTTCTTTTATTAGTTAAATGTCACATCAGTCACCTTTGCTGCTCTTCTGTTTCACATATTGTGTTTTTTGAAAGTGACAGATGTGTCTTCAATATATTTGTCAAGAAATACGCCAAAATAATGTGTCAGCTTACCTTGCTCTTTTATTTTTTATCCACTTCAAAGTACCTATATGATGGTCCTTTTTAGAGTGGAATGTGATCCACTGAGAATTTTAAAAAGGTAAGCCAGTTTCTAAACCAACACCTTGGAAATCAGCAGTCAAAGTATATGCAAAAGTTCCCAAAACATCCTATTGTTTCAATGTTGGAAATAATGTTTGAGTGAAAAGCACCATAATAGTATCTAGTAAGATATTTGGTGTGTTACACCCATGGAGAAAACAAACATTGTGGATTTTCACAAATAAATGAAATGGAAGGAGTCATTGTACTTTTTAGCTTTATTCATATTTTCATAGTTCCTTCTTTGCCATTCCAGTTGTCTCTGCTATCTATCATGATGATGATGTTTAAATGAAACAATTCATTATTTATGCATTCAGCAGCTTAGACTTTATTCCAACGTGCGAAAAGTCATACAGAGTTTTTCACCCACCCATTGTTTTATCTATTTTCTACTCAGGTCGCAGTAAAAAGAAGGAGCATTGCCTGAATGAGGAGTCATACCCACTGGAGGAGACAGAGACTTGTCCCTGTGACGAGTTTTTGTCCCAGCCATATGGGAACTGGTCTGCTTGCATCCTCCCTGATCCTTCAGCTCCGGGATCCCTGAAGGGCTGGATGAGTCACCGGGAGGTAAAGGAGTGTGGCCAAGGTCTGCGCTACAGAGCAGTGGCCTGCATTGACCAGCCGGGACACCTGGTCAGCCCCACACTCTGTACAGACTCAGGTACGACTCATAGAAATATATTGCAAGAACAAAGATTTTCACTATAACTTTAAAGGTGGGGTTTCACTTTAATTAATCAGTAGCGAGTGCATATCTGTCCTACATCATTTTCAGTTGACAAGAAAGCTGCAGTAGCAGTTTACTGTTTCCCCACAAGGCTAAAACAGCCATCAGTGGGCACCAGACCTATTAAAATCTCTGTTTCAGGCCTAGAACCAGACTAATAGCATTGTATTGGTTTTTTGGACTTGATGAAAAAAAAAAAGATGCTTCCAAAAGGCATTTTTAGCATCATAGCAGTTATTTTTAACGAAATCGCTGCCATTTCATTGTGAAAAACGTGATTCTCTGCTGGAGACAAAAACATTATACTTACTAAACTATACTAAAAACTAAAAACTAAAATGTTTTGTTTGGGAAAACTAATTATTATCTTTTTTTGACTTTTTTTATGATGAAGTTGTCAGAATAATCCTAAATAAATGTAATATTGGTTATCCTCTACTTGTCATCTTGTAGGTGTTGGTTATTTGAAATGCTTAGTTGCTGAACTTTTTTTTTGCATGTTTCAGTGTGAAAGACGGTTGAATAATGCTAATAAAGCTATCCAGAGACAACCAACAAACAAATAGCATAACCCAGCGTGAAAACCCTTAAGTAGTTTCAGTATGCCGTGTTGGCACAGTGTAGGAATGAGACACTCATTAGTTAGATAATTAGCTCTTGGTGTTACGGTGAGCAAGTCCAAGGTCTGACAGGCCAGTGGCATGTCTGTCTGACATTATTAATGTGATCCTCACTGCAGACAATGACCAAGTCTAAATCAGGCCTCCCCCTCCTGTCTGCCAATGTTCAATTTCAGGCTACATGGTGGAGGTTTGCCACATCCCTTGCCCCCTAGACTGTAAGCTCAGTGACTGGTCAACCTGGTCAGCCTGCAGTGCATCCTGTGGCAGCGGGTTGAAGATCAGGTCGAAGTGGCTCAGGGAGAAAGCTTTCAATGGGGGACGCCCATGCCCCAGGCTGGATTTGAAAAACCAGGTAAGACATGCAACAGTGCTCTATATCCATACCATTCTGTTCAGTGCAAGGGGAAGGTAATTGTGACAGCATGCTGATGTATGTATGTATATGTTATCAGTCTGTGTTGAGCTATTGTTTGACTATATTTTTGTAAAAAATAAATAAAATACAGTTGGTCATGTGCAGTTTATAAGGAGAATAATGCATTTTAGTTTCCATACAGAGACACAGCAAAAATGGCCGCACAAGGTTGACCTCATCCTCGATCTAGATTGTTTTCAAGTCACTTCTTCCCAGACTTAATTGTTTCCAGGGACACGTATAATCAAATGCAGATGAGGACAGTCTATACTCAGAGTCCATCCATGTTCAATCATAAATCATCAATAAATGTAGAGAAATTAGTTTACATATTGCAAATAGTGTCCACAGCGCTCCATGTTTTACACAGACATACAGCATTCCCCTACTGGGAACATTTGTATGGTTTATGGAGTACTTTGCATCTTAATTTTTTACACATCTCCAGTATGCTGTTGGAATATATTTCCTTCTAGCCCTTATTGTGTGAGAGCCCAGTGCTGGCACATAAATGCGCAATGGAGTTGTTGCATTCTGCTCACATTTCAATGACAAGGTTTATTACCCGTCATCCAGTGGAACTTCTCTGTGACCTGTTCATTTTCTGGTGTCTTCATTCAGACCAAATCATTTGCCTTGCAAGACATGCCCTTTCCTTGACATAAAAACAGGGCGCTGTTAAGTAACAGAAAGAGGGGGGGGGCAGAGAAGGAGAAGTGGACAGATGGGAGCTTTTGATATTCCATAGTCCGGTTTTATCCATAGCTCTGAATATTTTGTGACAGCATATCTCTCATGGGGTCATGGTTTAAAGAGAGGAAGTGTTTTATGAATGCTGGCTGTATGCTTGAATGGGTTTGAAAGGACACTTCAGTTTGTAGAGGTCAGTATGAAAATGAGGCACGGCTGTGTGAAAAATATTCCAGTGTGTTCTAGTGGATTTTGTGTACAGATGGTTAAGTGCCTACTAACAAGGTCTATATGGCCCCTGTAGTTATGCCCTGTAATAACCCTCGGCACTGAAAATGGAGGTCGCTGTTCCCAATGCCCTCGCGGATTTATCCTGAGGGTGGACTAGGGCTCATTGTTAACATTATCAAATTGGCTATTCAAAGTGAAGTACATCTGTCCAAGGTGTGGGTGGAGAGACACTATAACCTCTACTCTAGTTGCATAGGCATTGCTGTTGTGTTAAGCAAGGAAACTCTTGGACGGTCACGAGTGAGTTCTTAACATGGTCTCGAAAAACCTGCTTTCTCCTTGAGCAGGTGCACTTCACTGTTCAGTCCTCATACTTACGCATGGTCTTTAATACTTAATTTAATCTCTGTTTGGGTGCGGCATGACCTAATGGCTACCCTCCTCTCTCACAAACACTTGCTCCCTTATCGGCCACTGTGAACTACACTCTAGCCAAATTGTGGCCTTGCTCCCACCAACAGATGTTTCCCCTCGAGCCACGGCCGGAAAGTGACTGGCTTGACAGAGATGAAATTTACAGTGCACCACAACTCATCCTCTCATCACATGGTTGAGTGAGCAAGAAAGGTAGGGAGAGAGATAGAGAGGGAGAGAAAGAAAGTGCCACCAAGAAAGTAACAAGCAAAAATGGTCACATTCGAACAGTGAAACAAACTGTGTAAGAGTTTGGCTATAAAATAAATTGTTAATTAAGTAGTCTGTAAGATTGTCTGCATTGATAAAACGTGATCAAGAGCAAGTATAATTGAAATGAATAATTCATGGATCACCTCACAGAAAACCTGTCACGGTGGATGTCTTGGCCACGTTGCCATTGAGTGTTCAAGTGGGAAAAGAATAATTAAAGAAGACTGTAGGTATGTTTTCAACAACTTTTTTTTAAACTCCTCTCCAGAATCATAGCTTAGCAGCCGTAATCCGCATGTCAAGGTTTTGATTTCTCCACATGTTGAAGTGGTTCGGCATGGGGCTGTAATAAGACTTATTCTCTGTATCTGCTCTGTCTAGCTCTTAATTAGATTTGGTGAAGTTCACACTCCAGCAGCACCCAAACTCGTTATCTGATACAGCGTTATGTTTGCCAAACACACGAGTTAGTCCTCATCCTAACAGCCTTTTGTCTCGTAACATTAAAAGGGAAACATACTGTTTTGAAAATAAAATAAAACAGCATAACCTGTCTTGTTTGGCCAATTATGTAAGCTAAGCAGCCAAACAACGATAATGTTATTGTGAGATGTAAATGTGTTATATGACTCATATATCATTCTACTTCTTAATAGGAGAAAAATAACTGAATATTCCTAAAGTTTAGGTTTGTTATCTTAATTAAAGACAGTTTGAGTAGACATGCCTGGTATACCTGTTATGGTATATCAAACTGGTAACATATCCATTTTAATATAGGCTGTGTCCAAAATTGTCTATTCATTTACTACTCCCTACTAACTACCTATTTAGGTCAAAAAGGTCCAAATGTCCAAACGATGTCCAAAAAAGTTTCCTTTGTTAGAATAAATTTTATAGTCTACTCCTGCACACTTTCTAAGTGAGTATACATGATGAAGGTTGCAGGATGTTAATGAATGCGAGATGATCATTTCTTCCGCATCTGTAAGTAAAACCTTCTTGTGTGCAAAAATGTTACTGTCTATATCCATATCATTGTTTTTTTTAATAAAACAAAACTTTGTTTGTTACTTTAACTTAAATTCTACAGTACAGATCTTTTTACAGCTATTTTGAGCCCATATCTGAGTAGAAGATGCCCTGAGAGACAGCTACAGAGAGCTCAAAGATGTCAAAGCAGAGCTCAGACAGAAACACACAAATTGGGTCTATAATTATAGGAGACATTTGAATTTCATCAAAACTCCCACAAGTGTTTGCTGTCAAATGCTGAGATATCAAATGATATATGTACTTTTTCTATATAATACAACAGAATTGTCTTGACTGTCTGCCACCCACTGTGCCAGTCAGATAGTTATTTTTCATTCTATTAATGCCTGGGGCCCGCACTCTGGCCATGTCCTATGGAGAAA